ATGGTTTTTCTTATTCATTCAGATAGGTTTGCTAGAAACAGTGATGCTAAAAGTTGTATGTTGGGACCAAAAGGTGGTATGGTGGATAAGGCACTGGACTCTCACATGACTGACTGTGGTTTGAGTCCCGGACTGGGTGGCTTGAAAATCACGCTAGGCACTTCTATGTGCCTGCCTAAAATCCTGAAAGGAGAATGGAGGGGAAAGGACTGCAGAGTGACCATTCCCACAGGAGATGATTTCTCACTTTCCCTTTCACTGTTTCTCTCTTTCTTTCTAATAAGTGCATGTGCCTTATTGCAAAACCTCTAAAAAAGTTGTATTCTGTAAGAGGCCAGATTAAAAAAAAAAAACAAAAACTACTGAAAACGAATCCAAATGGTGCAATACTCCAACAAGTTAGCAGATAGAAGTTCTGGCCCCTATAGAAAACATTTTTGACCTGGGAAGTGATTTAGGTTCAGACAAAACAAATCTAGATCAACAAATCAGAACGAAAGATAAAGTTAACCTTGGGCGATAAGCCTTTTAAAGAAGGACTTTAAAAGTGGATCTAAGCAATAACCACAGATAGCAAGACCTTCATTACCTTCGGGCCGGTATTGGGCAACAATTGTGACAGCCTGGCCAGCATTTTTCAGCGCAGCTGCTGCCTGCTCATGACTGGCAGCTCGCAGGTCAACACTGTTCACCTGTAAATCAAACAAGATATTAATTTGAGAGAAAACAACCAGTTTGAAAAAAAAAATAAGTTATCTGCACTACCTTGACTACTAGAATATTTCCTTATTCTGATATATTAAAAATATAATGTACAGTAAAATTATTACTGTCATTCAAAGTGATATTTTTAAAAACAAATACTCTGCTTAATGTTAAATGAGCAAAAACCAAAACATTTTCCCTCAAAAGGTTTCCAGAATGTTAGCTATTAATACATTGAGAAATGGACCTTAGTTTGACAAGTGAGAAAAGCAACAAATTTCATCATTTTTCGTATTTCATTTCACAAGTAATTGAAGCAATGGGAGAGAAATTTATTTTGCTCTTAGCATCCTTTCACCTTCTGCCACACTTTTGCTATTACCGGGCAACTTGGTTATAACATTCTTTCCTCTCACAAACTAAAGCTTCCATTATTTTGGAATAACAGGAAATCAATTATTTAAAAGCATTAACATGGGGCTGGCCAGTGGCATAGTGGTAAAGGTGCTGGCCTCTCACATGGCCAACTATGGTTTGAGTCCCGGACATGGCAGCTTGCTGTCTCACTTTCTCTTTCTCTCCCTTTCATTTCTCTGGTCAAATTAAAATAATAATAGTAACAAATACAATTAAATAAATAATTCTTCCCCCAAAAAAGAGCATTAACATAGCTCAGATTTCAATGAGTCATTTAAACACAACAAATGTTAGTTAAAACTAACTAGGAGGCATTTTTTTTTTTTTTAAATAAAGGGCCCTTTCTTGTGTGACAAAATTAGTGAAGTGACCAAACCTACTCCAGAAGAACAACTTAATTCATATTTTTGAAACTTAGCTAATTCTTAGTATATATTGTAACATACACTATTTTAAGGGGTTATTCTTTTTCCACTAAAAATCAAACTTAACTTATTCATGAAAGCATTATATTAAATATAATTATTTAATTTTTTAAAAACTAAGAACCAACAATGAATAGAATGAAGTTCTGAAAATTTGCAGAAAGAAAAACTCATAATGCAACATTTATATGAAAACCTGTTTTGCTGAAATCTAATCTAAAAACCAGTTAAAGATCGCATATCGGGGGAACCAGCAGTTAGCGTAATGGCTATGTCGCTGGACTCCCACGTAGTCGACCACGGTTCGTGTCTCGGACCCGGTGGCTTAAAACTCACGCCGGGCGCGTGTGCGTGCGTGCCCAAGATCCCGAGAGGAGAATGGAGGAGAAGGGATTGCGGCGTGACCATCCCCCCTGGGGGGTGATTTCTCGCTTTCTGTCTCTATGTCTCTCTCTGTCTGTCTGGCGAGCGCACGCGCCCTACAGTGAAAATCTCTCCAAAAAAAAAAAAAAAAAAGATCGCATATCGGTTTATGAAAATTTAACTATGTGACCAGAAATTCTTTGGGATCATAAAATTTATATAAATTTATGTAAAAATCTACTTTTTTTTTTGGTGAGAGATTTCTACCATAGGGTGCGTGTGCTTACTAGAGAGAGAGAGAGACAGACAGACAGACAGAGACAGATAGAAAGCAAGAAATCATCCCCTTGGGGGACGGCCACACTGAAATCTCTTTTCCATTCTCCTCTTGGGATTTCGGGCAAGCATGTACACATTGCTGGTGTGTTTCAATCCACCAGGTCTGAGACTAGAACTGTGGGAGTCTAGTGCCTTAACCACCACACCACCTGCTGGCCCCTAAGACCTACTGTTTTATGTATCTATAAAGAATACCATTATGTAACTAAATACCTTCCTCCCTACATGAAAACCCAGCTCTAAAACCCTTAACCTATACAAACATAATGTAATGTGATTATTAGGGGACTATCACAATACTGTCAGGAGAACATCTCTGGTTGAAATGGCTATTAAAACCTCAACCCAGGCCTAGCTAAGACGGCCTAAGTGGTACAGCACTACTGGGGAAGCCTGGTTGTGGCCCCAAGACAATCTCAACAGGCTGGGTGTAGTCTGGCCAAACCTAGATTAACTCTGTAATCCTAGCTAATAGGGAGGCTGGGGCAGCGTTGTAGTGAAATGGTAAGACCCTGTCAAGAATACAACTCCCAATTTTCTCTAATTAAAACAAAAAGCAAAATTCAAAGCAATGTACTAAGGGTCTTCATAAAGTTCATGGAAAGTGTGTATTATGAAAATACTATGGATTTCAAAAATCTTTTGCACCAAAATAAACTCATTCTTTAATTCCATTTTTGAAAAACTCTGAAGTCTCCTTATATAGACAGTTCTACTTTGTGTACAGAGAAAAGCCTCTTAATTACCAGGAGAATGATTAGGTCATTAGAAAAGTCATGATACATTTTTCTATACAATCCAATATTTATTAGGGAAGAAATAGAAAGGCAGATAACTGTTCACAGAGTGTTGTAGAAAAGGTTAAACCTTTTAATGTATTATTATTGTGAATCAAATTCTTTTGTAACAGAAAAGATATGAAGACAACCTACTTAGGCTCAAAAAAGCGTAATTTGCTAAATGAGACCACAAGATAAAGATTCTAAAATCCCTTCCTCCCTCTCCTGTTTTGTTTGCTACAGGGTGAGGGTGCTGGTAGCACATATTAGCACTTCATTCCTTATAATGGTTAATACTCTACTGTATGGATAAGCCATATTCTGTTTATTCAATTCTTTAGATTTATAGCTAAGCATTTTATTCTTTCAGATACTACTGTAAAGTGGAATTGTTTTCCTAATTCCATTTTCAGGTTGTTCAATGCCAGTGAACAGAAATAAAATGGATTCTATTATAGTAATTCTTTATCCTGTAACTTTGTTGAACTCATTCATGGGTATGTTAGTTCCCTTATTTCTAATTTTAAGGGGAAAGCTTTCAGTCTTTACTACTTAGTATCATGTCAGCTATCAGTTTTTCAAAGATACCCTTTATCAGGTTAAGAAAGTTCCCTTTTATCCCTAGTGTAATGACCACAAGATAAAGATTCTAAAATCCCTTCCTCCCTCTCCTGTTTTGTTTGCTACAGGGTGAGGGTGCTGGTAGCACATATTAGCACTTCATTCCTTATAATGGTTAATACTCTACTGTATGGATAAGCCATATTCTGTTTATTCAATTCTTTAGATTTATAGCTAAGCATTTTATTCTTTCAGATACTACTGTAAAGTGGAATTGTTTTCCTAATTCCATTTTCAGGTTGTTCAATGCCAGTGAACAGAAATAAAATGGATTCTATTATAGTAATTCTTTATCCTGTAACTTTGTTGAACTCATTCATGGGTATGTTAGTTCCCTTATTTCTAATTTTAAGGGGAAAGCTTTCAGTCTTTACTACTTAGTATCATGTCAGCTATCAGTTTTTCAAAGATACCCTTTATCAGGTTAAGAAAGTTCCTTTTATCCCTAGTGTAATTTTTTTTTTTTTAAATCATGAAAAGGCAATGATTTAAGAGATGATCGTGAGTAAAGAACTTATGTGATGGTATCTTACTTTGACTGGTTTTCCTATGTCAAACCAGCCACCTATTCCTTGGATAAATTCCACTTGGTTATGGTGTCTGACCATTTTTCATACTGCTAGATCAAGTTTGAATTTCTTGAGGAGTTTTAGATCTATACAAGCATACCTTGTTTTACTGTTTTTCCCCTTTATTGAACTTTACAAAGAATGTTTTCCTTCAAATAAGGTCTGTGGCAACTGCATTGAGCAATCTATCAGTGTGATTTTCCAACAGCCTGTGCTCACTTCATGTCTCTATGCCACATTTTGGTAATCACTGCAATATTTCAAACTTTTTCACCATTATTTTATCTGTTAAGTGATCTGTGACAGTAATCTGTTGTCACTACTGCAACTGTTTTGAGGTGCCATCAATCACACCCATGTAAGATGGGAAGCCTATCCAATAAATGTGCATGACTTCTATGGCCTGGCTATTCCCTCATCTCTTCCCTCTCCTCAGGTCTCCCTACTCCCTAGATACGACAATACTATAATTATGCCAATTAATAACTTTACAATTACCTCTAAGTGTTCAAGTAAAAGGAGGAGTCACATGTCTCTCACTGTACACTGAAAGCCAGAAATGATTACACTTACTGAGGAAGGCAGAGACAAGATGAAAGCTAGGTCTCTCACATTCAGTAGTTAGCCAAGTTGTGAATGCAAAGGAAAAACTGTTGATGGAAATAGAAAAGCTGCTCTGGTGAACACTCAAATGATAAGAAAGGCAAACAGTCTTGTTGCAGATATGGAGAGCTGTAGTGACCTGGATAGATTAAACCAACCACCCATTCAGTCAGAGTCTAATTTAGAGCAAGCCCCTAACTCTCTTCAATTTGTGAAGGCAGTGAGAGCTGAGGAAGCTGCAGAAGAGAACTTTAAAGCTATCAAATCATTTCTTGAGGTTCTGCAAGGAAGCCATCTCTATAACACAGAAGTGCAAGGTGAAGTAGCAAGTGTTGCTGTAGAAGCTGCACCAAGTTAAAAAATGAACACTACTCACTCCTAAACTCTCCCTCCAAGAAAAGAGTGAGGAACACTTCCTAACTCAATCTTTGAGGTTAATATTATCTTTATACCAATGGAGACAAAGATATCACAAATCAATATCCCTTATGATACAGGCATACCTCAGATACAGTGGGTTCAATTCCAGACCACCACTCTAAAGTGAGTCATTAATTGTTTTGGTTTTCCAATGCAATGTTTACACCATGCTGCACTCTATTAAGTGTACAATATCATTGTCTTAAAAACGTACATGTATTAACAATATTTATTGCTGGGACCAGCAGATGGTGTAATGATTACGTTACTGGACTCCCACATGACCAACTGTAACTTGAGTCCTTGACACAGAGGCTTCAAACTCATGTCAGGTGTGTGTGCCTGTGTGCCCAAAATCCTGAGAGGAGAATGGAGAAGGGATTGTGGAATGGCTATCTTGCTTTCGGTCTCTCTCTCGTGAATGCATGTGCCCTGTTGCAAAACTAAAAAA